GCGGAGCTGGCTGGTACCCGGAGCGTTGGCTCTGCCGCCTGCGCCCACCTCCTCGGGGTCTTCGGGTGCCTCCTTCCAACAACTGCTCTAAGCCTGACTGCAGTTGTCCAGCTTCTCTCGTTTTCACCAGCTGAAACTGAAAACAAAGCAAACCATTAGTGCATGGTAGACCTGAAGAAGCGAATTAGCATATGTAAAGCAGCTGCTTGGAAGTAGGAAACTGCCTCCACCAGCACAAAGGAGGTCAGGCTCTCCCTTGCAAAGGGAAGAAACTTTATCGAAAGGCAAGAACCGTGTGACTGTAAATGTGATCTCTGGGCAGAAAGGGGAGATTTAGTAAACTCTGGAACAGTATGTATGGTCTCAGTCTAAAACATGGCAAGACTATAACATTCCCTAAAATATTAGGGGCTAACCAGTGAAACATTCATTGGTACTGTCAGCGATACTCTGAACGCAGGGGTAGATAAGCATAGGTTATTTTTTCCTGATGTGTCGTACACAAGCTAGACTGAATTGCCGCAAAACTCTTCTGTGACAGAACTGTCCTTTTAAGTAAAAGCTCTGGGGTAAGGAATGGCCGAGACAGTAGAAAACTTCATTTTGCAGTTGCAGTATGGCGATTTAGCATTACAAATCTAGGTCACAGGAGTGACTTTTTTTTAAACTTTCCAGCCTGATGGAGTTCAGCCAAGGGAGTTCATTTACTTTTGGCTTTAAGAAAAGAGCAAGGAAAGCACCCTTGCTAGTTTGTGAAGTGGACGTAGCGTTTTCCTCAAAAGAGACTTCTAGTCAGTTGTCTTTAGAAGCTAGAAAGAGAAAGAATGTATTCCTGTGGAAACTGTTGGAATTTGTGAAAGCCTTTTTAGAAATGGACGAATTGATGGTGATTTAGGGCAAAGAGTCCTGGATTTCCGACATGCTTGGTCTCGCTTCCACTTTCAGGTCTTCGCTGGGAACAGCCCTGGTGCCGGTGCAGGACCAGCAAACCTTAACTCAGGAAATCTGTTTGAATAGGATCGTGGGTTTTGCCACTTACGTTTCTTTTTTAGAAAAGAAGTGCTAGCTTTGACCAGACATTGTCTGGTAGCAATTAAGCTAATAAATAAATGTGTGTGTGTGAAGTGTTTTGCTATTTGTACGTGCATGAATATTAGTATGATAAATAAACTAAATTAGAAGGATGTGTAAATGATACATCCTCGTAACTTGAGAAGAAAGGCCACTGAAGTTCTGGTGAAGGCTTCACAGTCCCTGACAAGGTCAGCTCATCTGGCTGAAAGTAATGATTACTTTAGGTTTCTAGAGAGAAGACTTTCAAAATAATTGTTAGGCAGCGTCTCTTTGCATAAACACTACAGTGTATAAAATAGTAGTATGGTGACAATTAAGGTAACTTGAGTTTTAAGAGTAAAGTACCCTCAGGAAAAGAGAATTGTGTTGGAGACACCAAAGTGTTAACGTCACAGTGCTAAAACCCTGTGTTTTGAGAGATAAAAGTGAATTTCGTTTTAATGGCTACCTCTCTAATGCTTCCCTTCAATTCAATAATTCCTGTATTAATTTACGGAGCTGGAACTTCCAAGTGTGACAAGGTCAGAGGGAGCAGTCCGTGGGATGTCTTCTCCCGTCCTTCTCCCGTCCCGTCCCAGCGCCCAGCCTGCCGAGCCGAGGGGCAGCGGGCG